AAATATCCCATCCTAATTGCGTGCCTCCATTGGCGTGACTTTTGGCCAGCTAGATCGGTCGAGAAAAAAAAAAAAAAAAATTATTCAGTTGCATTGAGATCCAACACGTATCTCCCCGACATCCGATACGTTTGAAAAGATCGTCCGATGTCGGTGCCACTGTGGCCACAGTTTAAAGTGAAAGTAATTGATAAAGAGATTCGCATGAAAGAATAGTCGAATCGATTTCATTCGAGTTGAATTACGATTGTTCGATTGGTCGTAACGTGAAACAATCAGTCCGCGCTTGTAATATTTTTCAAATGGAACAAACAATCGAAATAATATTCCACATTGTGTATTATAATAATCATATTATTGAATACGATTTTTTTTTTTCTTTTTTTTACGCAATTTTTCTAATCGCGGTTATTGCTTTACAACCGCAAGATGACAAAGCGTCCCTTTTGAAATAATCAAAATTTATAAATGTATATTATGTTTCATATAGTTGCACGGCGTTGGTGAGGATTGCGAAGAATAATTGATTGAAAAACTCGACGCAGTAAGGAGAAACGTTCGCGAAATCGTGTTTCCCAGAAAAATTGGAAAGCTGATGTTACTCAGATTTAAAAGAGAGAGAGAGAAAAAAAAAACAAATTTTATTTGATCGCATTTTTCTGCAATTGATTGCACAAATATTCGATGATACTTTTAGAGGAGAGGGCCGGAAATAAAATGTAGCATTTGATATCTAATCTTCTCAGTTTAACGATATTAAGTGCACGTGTTGAAAGATGTCAATCTACTGAACTGATATTCTGATAATGAAATATTAAGAAAGAAAAATTCGTATTCTTTTTCTTTTTTTAGAAAGAAAAAAAGTTTCATTTTTCCTTTATTATTATTGTTTATTTATAGTCAGAGTTGAAGATTATAAATCTTTTCAAAAGAAAATACGTTATTTGAATTTAGATTAGAATGACAATTTGTATAAGATATTTTAAGAATATAAAAATGAAACAAAAATGACTTGTAAGAAATGTTTTAAATTAAACATTTTATTATATGACGAATATATAACTAAATGATATATTAAATTTTTTTCTAATTTTTTTCTAATTTTTTTTTATGTTGGATCACTAATTTTGAGACGTCCTGTAAGTGCTTTAGTGTACTACTTGTGAGAACAGTTCTGCGCAATGCTATGTAACCATATATAGCATGTTGTATAGCGGTCTGACCAATATAATCTATTGTCAAGTCTTGAAATATTCACATAGATGAATTTGAAATTTCATCCGATAGTTAGAAAACCTATTATTGTTAAACAAACTGTAAACAATTAATTTAACTTAGCTCGTAACTAAAACTTTCCACTTGCATATTTGTATACTTTACAACTATACGTTTATCTATTTTCTATTTTAATTAAGATAATATTTTATTGTGTAGATGTAAAAAGTATATATATTATAAAAAGTAAGGTTTTCTTCGAAACTGATTATGATGAAATAAGTGATTCAATTTCCCAACAAAGTGTTCAACATACAATGTGATTGAATAATGCCTCAGAATTAATTATTAAAAAGTGTTACAATTTTCTTTTCATTTCTCATTATTTAATTTTCTCATTATTAATTATTTAATTTTTGAACTTCCTCGGCGATTGATGTTATCAATACAAATATGTAGATAAATTTCAATGTAGAAAGAAAATTTTAAATGAAATTTTTTTTTTTTTTTTTTTT